TGTTGCTTGCCATGTAATGTCTACTCCATTAACTGCGTTTTTTCCTTTTTTCCTGATAGACAGCCCTAAGGAAAGGGTGAAAGGGAAGGGGAAGAGGAACTTGATTGACCCCACAGAAGGCAGCCTGCCTCATTCGTGGGTGGCTGCCTCCATACAGCTTATCCTCCTCACTTGAACTCTTTGCTTTTCCCATCACCCCCAGGGAGTAACTCCCTAATAACCCCGTGTGGTGTCCATGTGGCCCAGGGGTCACTTCACTTTCTGAAAAAAGGTGGCTGGTGGGTCCACTTGTGGTGGAGGGTGGGGCTGGCATAGGGATATAATCGCACCTCATTGGGCTGGGACTGGTTGGTATTCAGAGGTCAATCAGGGAATTTCTCAACACACATAGATGGGCAGGATGAGGACATGAGAGTGGATTTAATTTTTAAAGTTCTACATGTAGGTGTAGTTTGGTAAGAAGAGTTTCTTCTGGGCATTAATGGAAACGCTGTGGTCCTGTCTGAGAGACTATTGTGCTCAGTGAATCGAACTGTCATCAGGTGGAGCTGTGTGACAATTGCACATAGATCTGACGCTACGTAATGAAAGGAGAAGCATGATGCTTTCGTTGTGAGGATGTGACAACGTGGGGAGTTGGTATTCGTATTTTGTTCAGTTCTAGTTGTAGTCATTAACTTAAGTGGTCTTCAGACTATAGTCTTGCCAGAATTTGGGGTTTATCCCATTTCACTTATTTCTCTATTTGTTTCCCCTTCATCCTGTAATTTCTCCCTTTGAATTCTCAATCCAAGAGGTGAGCTAAACTTTTATAAACATAAGAGAAGTAATTGAGAATTAAGGAATAATGACCACGTGAGGTGATAATATTGTTATAGTAGTAGCAGCCCAACCTGGAGAGATCTGGGGGCGGAAAGAGGGGAGAAGGGAGTGGGGCGGATTGTGTCAGCCACAGGAAAGTCCTGTGTGTATCTTCCAGCCATCATCCAGTGACAGGCTAAACAACCTCACAGGAGCCTTGACTTCAGTGCCCCACATTTGGTGACATGTGCCATGAGAAGCGTTGTGGAGTAAATGTTTTATATGCTCAAGAATTTTACAGTCCAGGCAAGAAAGAACGCAGTAACCAGTGCACACACATGCTTTTTCTTTTTAACACATGAGGAAGCTGCATACATATAATGGAAGAGACAAGAGTATTTGGTCATACTGTGCAGCAATGTTGGCTTAGTGTATAGCCCATGGAAAAGTCATCCTAGAAAGTTTTGCTGTCAAGGCATTCCTCAGCTTGATGCAGCGTAGGCAGGCCTGGTCATGTGGTAGCTGACTCATAATCACACAGGGGAAGTGGTGTGGAGGGGAGTGTTGTTGCTACAAATGATGCCAGCAGCCTCTGAGATGAGCGCTTTGGTGGCTCTCTAGGGTCAGGTTCCCTGTGTCACCTTTCATGGACATGTGGGAATACTTCTGGGATATGTGTGGGAAGTTCTAGACTCACCCATTCCATGACCCTCAAGCCCAGCCGTGGCCATCACGTTTAAGTGTGAACAACTGACATCAATTGAGTGGTACTGAGTGGGCCTCACCTCACTGTTACATGTATTTTCTTGCTCTACATCCGAGTAGGTGCTCATAAGTTTCTTTTTTTTAAAAATTAATTTGTTTATGCATATAGACCTGGAGTACAAGCCAGAGGTTGGGCGGTGAGAGGATTCACCAGAGTGGGTAGCAGAACAGGCAGATAACGAAGTACAATGCTAAGGGGAGCAGCAGGTGGGTCAGGAGAGGTCTGCCGTGCCATGTAGTCACCTCTGGGGCCGGGGATCCAACTCGCGCTGACGTGACTGTGGCCAGCTTGCAGTGCAGTGGCCCAAATCATTACGCCCCTAGGGAGGGCCCGCTAATAAGTCTCTTTAACCTCTGTCTGCATAAATAAGCCTGTACAAGTTCACCTTGCTCAGGAGGTGCAGGGGGAGGTCCTGCTGCAGCAAGGGTGTGGGCTCTGTAATAGCGTGACTCCAGGACCGGGTCCCTGCTAATGTAATTAGGGTTGGAGTCATCAGGGAGGTGTGTTTGGCCATTTGTGGCCACTGTGGGCACTCGTAGGTGGAGACGCAACTACAGACAGGCTTTAAAGTTCGCCCTCAGTAGGTATTAGTGGGCATATAGTTTGGTTCCAGGCAAAGCTCACGAGTTTGACCCCTTCTTCCGCTTGTGTGATGGTGGAGAGACTGTGCTCATCCCAGTCCTTCCTCAGTCCTCTGCTCCTTTCCCAGAGCCAAACTTGCTAAACTGGCTGCTGCCTGAAAGAAAAGAAGCACATCTGGGAAGGCCCTGAGAAGGAAAGTTCGAGGAAAAGAATATAAGGCTAAGAATGGCAATGAGAAATTTTCCAAACTGCTGGATTCTCCTTACCAAGCTATATTTTACTTTTTTTTTTTT